CCATTTCCTTAGAACTTTATATATTATGCCCAAGGAATAACACACTTCCTGAAATGCAACACAATGTTAAATGCAGTATTTTATCGGTTCTTATTAGTCACAAGATTTCAGCAAGTCTGCAACAACTAACTTCCCATGAATGTCGACCAACTAAACATGGACCGGGGAGAAGCATGCAATTACAAGTTATGTATATTGGGGCATTATGCAGCATTACCATACCTAAACTGGATATTGGAATTTACTATATACACACAACAAAGACAATGAAACATTAATTAAGTATATAGGACAAAATGTACACCAGTTACAAACATGCATTAAAATCCTCATTTTTTGAGTTTTATCTTAAAATAAATTTCAAGCTGCATTATTTAGTAAAGGAAGAAATTATGGTAAATGGTTACTTATCATTATAGGCACCTATAATACACTTTATCACTTCTATATTTATGTAGGACACAGTTATAACTAGTAACTTTTCCTACAGCATATTTACCAGCATAATCTCTTACTACAACTACTCATGCATTGAACCTAGTTTGAAAAAGCCTTTTAAATGCAGCATATACTGTAAGAAAAAACTGGCACTAGAGTAGTTTATGCTTTTCAACCAGCATAGGTTTTAATCATTTACTGTATTTCATGCCAAGAAGAGTTGCTTTTAGCCAGAATCTGCATGCTAACCAAAACTCTCACTAAATTACCAAATATAGGAAAGCATCCACCAAGGAAGTTGCTTTTTGGGAATTGTAAACAGGACAAGATTGTGTACCAGCTGCACTAAATTATATGACATTACAGATAGTTTGATAGCAAATTATATGTTCTTTCAATGAGATAAAAAGAAAAGCCTGATTTTTCTCTAGATGTAGCTAAGGTCATATAATCTATATCATATAAGTATCATATATTATAAATATATGATGGGTCACATAACTGACATGTATTCATTCTATTGTTTAAAGAGAGAAGTAGACATGGAAGGAAATAGAGGGCAAAAAGATTTGTATTTACAAGGATGAACTATGAAAGGATGAGATAACTTTAGAGAGGCAGTTAAGCTGCCAATGGAAATACGTGTTCTGCACTATGAGACATATTGAGGAATGAGCAAGAGAATTCTTTCATCATACACCACTTGGTAGCATACCACAAGTTTACAAGCTTCACATATACAATCAGTGCATTCACTTTGATTACTTATGTCAGGACTGAGAAACTGGTGCACAGCAGGCTACATGAATACAAGGGGGCTTATGACTGTATATTCTGACATTCAAATTTCAAATTGTTGCCCACCAGCATCCAACTGTGGCACACAATAATTACATTGGCAATGAAAATGTATTGTGGCTGCAGCTGAGAAACTTTTACTACTATTCTCCAAGTAGCTTTATAGCAAGATAGGACCTGCAAATTGCGCTTAATGTTACAACATCAGCCATCTAACCAGGCATTGTGGAAGGTATTCACATTAAACACCTCATCCTCGTGAAACAGAAGAAGCAAGAAAGGTGTGAGAAGCAAGATTGAAAGAGAACAACTAGTTTCCAAAAAACTGCTCCCAGAGCACATCTGCAGGCAAGGCATGCAGCAAAAAGAAAGACACCATGTACCATGCACCAGCTTAGCAAACTCTGCATAAAGCTGGGAGGTGAAGAGCTACTGCCAAGCAAACAATTTGACAATGACAAGCCTTGACAATTTAGAATGTCCGAACCTTCAAATTAGCTGCAACAAGAGGTCAATTCTTTTTCAAGAGGTAGAACAGGAGCATATAAAGTCCTATTCACGAAGTCTAACTGGTCCTTGCCAGAACAACATTAAAGATTGGAGAAATTTCATTCCACTTGAGTGCCTGTAAACAATAAAACAGGTGCTATTTTCCCATAGAATATTGTAAGGCATTGCCACCCAGCCAAGATGCTTCAGGGGTCTGGTACAGCATCCAGGAAGCTGATGCTGGCCCAGATAACTCAATTCAGATATGTGCCCTATTCCACAAATCAAAATGCTTCAAGTTCCACTGAGCCAGGGATGCAAAAAGGAGAGGACGACAACTTCACCTTAGACCCTTACAATGCTCCAATTGCTATCTATGAATTCCTCCTGTGCTGAAATTGACATATGCAACTGATCTTGTGGGTTTCCAATACTTTTCCACATGTACATCTAAATGTAGGACTTTAAAACAGCTTAGCTATTTGAGGGGTAAAGCAGCTTAGCTATCTAAGGGTTAAAGAACAGTTTATTTTCACACACACAGGGCATGATGAACTGAAATCAAGGCAATAAAGAGGACAAAATTTGTTCCTTACAAGGGGATGGGGCCCAGAATACCTACCACACAAAGGAGAATTTCCTTCACCTTAGGTATCCGAGCCCAAAGGAATCAAAGAAGAACTAGAATGAATGGTCAACCCCTCTCCCCAGAATAAAAGCTTCCTGAACCAGGGAAGAGGAAGAGTATATTGCAGTGCACCACAGAGAAGCTGAAGTCCCTTATACGTGTCAGAAGTAAGCTCAGAATGAACTGACTCCATTTTTTAATGGGGTAAAGAAAAATCCTCCCAAGCACAGGTGGGAGGAACCAATGAGAAAGGACCTTAAGCAACGAAAGTAGGAGGATTGGAACACAGGAGCTTAACAGATGAAACAGGAGCAAATTGCAACATAACGAACACCAGACAACACACTTCCTGAAGTGAAACCATGACTCAGAGGTTAAGGCCACAAGAGTAACTTTTTTCTTTAAATAAAGAAAAATCTTCCATGAGACCAACAATGCTGCAAATTGAGACTGCCAGTACTAATACTTAACTGCTTGAGTACTGCAATAAGTGGCAGCTTCACCTGCCTTGATGCCAAGAAGATGCCTTGGAGAGAGCAGACATCGAAACAAGCACTCAGTGATTCAAGACACTGTTTGTGAAAGTGCGAGTGGTGAGGGAGTTCAGGTGGTCCACTTAAGTCCTATTCCAGGTTCTCAAGACCTAGCATACAGCTGTGGTGGTGGTGTTGGAACCGGCTCCCAACACCACCACACAACCGTACACCAAGTCTTGGGAACCTGGAATGGGGCTTAAGTGGAGCCCTAAACTGTTTAAACTATTATCTGATTGCCGGGGTACAGAAAGCCTATTAGGCTTGTAAGGGCCTCCTTTCTAACAGTGAGGCTGTATGCACAGTCACCCAACTAGCTATGAGCCAGAACTAAGCCACTTACCAACACACACACATTACTGCACCACATTACTGCACCACATCACTGGCCATTTCAAGTGTTCCTTAGAGAGTCTTCGGAATTCTAGAAGGTGTCTAAAATTGAAACGTTCCAAGAGGAAACAGGGCATCTAAGTTACAGAGTACAGGCTCAAAGCAAAATATTAAGTAAATAACTCAAGATAAATTGGAATAAATAATTGATGACTTGAAAAGTGTCATGATTTCCTCTCACTTTTATCACCAGAAACATTGTTTCTGCTTATTAGGAAAAATAATAATTATTTGCAACCAATTTTGAACATTCCCACTAACAACTGCCTATACTTTTCTTTTAAGTTGTATCCTAAAGTTTTAGTTGGACAAAAATGTTTTTAAATACAGTATCCAAGTCGCATCCTAAAAAATGGATAAGCTATAAACAAATTTAAAAAAAAAAAAATGATGACCCACCACACTTTATTTTGTCTTTACTCATCATGCTCTTTTTAACCTTTACATCCACTTCTATGTAGCAAGTCGGCATTCAATCATCGACCACTTAAGTGGTTGACCACCATTCCATCCCCCTGTCCCATCCCAAATAATTATATGACTCCTTCCAAGAGCTATATGGTCATAATGGCTTGATGCTTTCTCCTGATAGTTCCCTTCCCTCCTATTTGTTCTTTACAACACATGTTGTCTCACAGCGAGACTGATCTACAATTAAACAAAATACAAGCAAAGGTCCTAGCATCTTTGCATCAAACAAGCAACATCCAATTGCCACAAAACTTAAATATATGCAACAAGTATCTTAATGTGTAGATATACAGTACCATAATAAGACATATATCTTTTGGTAAATAGCTACATACATTCAAGGTATCAACCACTATCTACACCTACTAAAGTCAAGAACAAAACAACTGCCTTTATAAGATATGTCTTCAACATATTTACTAGTAAAGAAAGCTAGAAAAAAAATGAAAAAGTTTCACGAAGAGACTTAATGTTTATGATAAGTAACCAATTGTTGATAATGACGCACGCAGCCCTTAAATGTAACTCGTTTTTATTTGGTGAAATACTGTACAGTATACATAAAAAAAAAATTTAATACATAAAATTTTGCAGCAATAGGAAAATAACATAAAAAGGATAGAAGATTGCTCTAAGAATACAGTAATAAGAGTACAGCCCCTGTGATTTGTAGGTACAGTACTGAAACATCTCATCTCGGGAACAATTCTCCGAACCTTATCCTACTGGATAAGATGCACCCAATCTTCTGGGTCAGGTGCCCAAGGCACCCCTGTACCCAATCTTCTAGGTCAGATGGCCAAGACACCCCTGTACCCAATCTTCTGGGTCAGATGGCCACGGCACCCCTGTACCCAATCTTCTAGGTCAGATGGCCAAGACACCCCTGTACCCAATCTTCTGGGTCAGATGGCCATGGCACCCCTGTACCCAATCTTCCAGGTCAGATGGTCAAGGCACCCCTGTACCCAATCTTCTGGGTCAGATGGCCAAGGCACCCCTGTACCCAATCTTCTAGGTCAGATGGTCAAGGCACCCCTGTTCCTAATCTTCTAGGTCAGATGGTCAAGGCACCCCTGTTCCCAACTGGCTGAGTAAGGCAGTCAAGACTGTCTCTGCACCCAATGTACCATCCACATACTTATGACTAAAACCACACAAACCACTTTAATTAAAGATAAGGGTAAATTTGTTTAAAACATCTATTAAACTGAGCCTTAAAAGATAAAAATCTTTATATAAGCACTTACCAAATTTCTTTTGCCATCAGGTTTGTCCATTGTGCTCAGCAATCTGCAAAAAACATATTAGTTATTTTGACTTAATAGTTTGCACTAAGCCATGTATTTCACTAAATGTATGCCTGTATCTAATAATATTTAGCAAATCATTCCAAACAATAATAGACAATGATGTTCGATGGGATATCTTCTATAGTTTAAATTCTGCTACTTAAGCTCTTGCTATTATGTAGTACTTGTACCATGCAGGGAAGGTTATCTTGAGGTTATCTTGAGATGATTTCAGGGCTTTAGTGTCCCCGTGGCCTGGTCCTCAACCAGGCCTCCACCCCCAGGAAGCAGCCCGTGACAGCTGACTAACACCCAGGTACCTATTTTACTGCTAGGCAACAGGGGCATAGGGTGAAAGAAACTCTGCCCATCGTTTCTCACCGGCGCCCGGGATCGAACCCGGGACCACAGGATCACAAGTCCAGCGTGCTGTCCGCTCGGCCGACTGGCTCCCATAAACTCACAAGGGTCAAGAAGCCACACAAGGAAACAACCAACAAAATCAAACTCATCAAAATTTGAATCTACCAAAATTTGGATAAAAATATTAAGACAAAGATAATGGTGTATTAAAAAAGAACTTTAAAAAGTGAATGCTTGAAAAGACATTGAACAAATTTGTATAATACAAAAAGCATTAATATAGAAAAATGTAACACACCATACCTCTTTCAAGGCAAAAGAAATATTGCTGCATGAGAAATTCCTTATTTTTCACTATTTCATACCCAAACTAAACAAAATTATTAATATAAGTGACAGAAAATGCTTTTGCATGTGATTTGATACCAAAATTAATTTTGAAAAAAATTTAGTATAGTATAACTTTTTAACTTTTCAACACCACATTTTGGTAACTCCACTAAAATTTTATTGATCTTCCAGTGGACCAAGTTCTGTTTATGTGGGATTCCACTCTATTTGGAGGTCATGTTTGAGAAACGTTTGTATAGAACAAGTACAGTACAGTAATAGTATAAAAGGGCACAAAAAGTGACCAATAGTCCAGCAATGTATATCAATTCTACAGAAGCATTTTAAGAAAAAATTGTATTAGTATTAATACTACAGTATTAGTATAAACATGATTCAGTTTGAAGATAATTTTTTTATAGAAATTTTAGAAATAACAAACAAATGTTAACCAATCTAAGTATAGTACCGGTAATCCTTAGAGTATGTGAAGCCAACGAACGGAAGATTATTCCCAACAAAGGCTTTAGGAGTCGGAAAGCTTTCTTCTGACGAGTCCTCATTTTCCACTTCATCAAAATTACTGGTATCATCATCACTTGTAAGGTCCGGAACTACTGGCGGTACACCTACCATGTGACACGACCATTAGAAAGCAAATACAGGCGACTGATTAACGATAAAAACTGGCATCGTTATCCCGCTTCCCTCTGAGATGTACGTTAATAAATAACCTTAATGAACTCCAGCTTTCTGCCAATGAGATAAAGAGCTTAACATATTATAAGCACCCGTCTTTCTAATGCATATTTGCAAAATTAATTCATTAACTATTCTACTCTTTACACACAGTTGACATTCCCAACCTGTTCTAATCAAAACAGTGAATCACGTAAATATAGCCTCTTAGTCATCAGCACAAGAAACATTAAAGACAGTTCTAAAATAAGTTGATAAGAATATTAGAAAAACTTACATTCTCTTATAGTATCAAAGGTCCATTGGTCATTGATAAAAAAAGTGTGTCGTTTAATCTCTTCAATGCCATTTCCCCCAAGCCGTGTTAATCTGAAAGATTTTGAGAAATAAGATTCCTTTTATCAAAATACTGTACTAGCACGTAATAAGCAAAAACATATTGAATAGGCAGCCTATGATATGCATAATAAAGGATTACATGCATTCTGAGTTACAAGGATAAAATATTTATACCAAGTTTCAAAGAGCAAGTGAGAGCTTCACAGTTGCGCAGATTGAGAACAGATTAATGTTGATTATCAAGAATAATCCAAGTTACTCCTCAGGTCTACATGGTTCAGGTTCAAGTAAGTTTATTTAAGTGATCAAATACAACCCCAAAACATTTAGGCTATTTCTCCCCTCCTCTATGACAGGTCCCTCAAGATAACATGCAAGTGTGTAATATACAGTACTACATATTTTGCATTCCTTATCTTTTTCACAGACATCAGCCCCATATTACCAGTAATATTTATACCCCTGATCTTTATCTCATGTACAGTGAGTCTTTCCCACTATTATAACTTTAGGATCAAGCCATGCTCATTAGTGCCTAGTGCTTTAGTGTGTTACTGCTGTCCACCATTATAGATTTCTTGACCTTTTCTATATCTTTTTGGACCAACTTAAGTCTTTATCTGTATTTGTTCCAAAGTTACTTTATGCATAACATTACCAAGAGTCCACAGAGAATAATCACACTAATGTGACTGCATCAAAGAGAAAATCACTGAATGATTTTTACATTGACTCATCACGTTAGTGTGATTACTCTGTGTATTGAAAGAGGAGCATCAGAAGTAGAACATTCCTAGATGACAGAGTCAGAGTAAATTGGAGGGACTGTATGAAAATCCTGTTCCAGCTTCAGTAGAAACCTCAGGAAATCCTTGTGAGAGTTCAACAGAACTCCAAGTTACAATCCCTTTGACCATGTCGTTGACTCGGGGCATGTGCGTGGGAATACCCACCGCAAAGGTTTGAGCCCTCATCATGGCTCCTACAGATTTTCTCATTACCAAGAGTTTTCTTCGTGGCCCTCCTCACTAGCTCCCTTGTGTAATAATATCTACACGTGAAGGGATCAACGTAAATCTTACCTTACTACCATTTTTCATTAGTAGCTTAATGTGTTCACATGTTAACACTTTCAGTAGGTCAAGCCAGGCAGAAAGAAATTTAAAAAAATGATGCAGCAAGTTGCAATAAAGTGGAACATAAAAGTGCAACTGCCAATTCTCCACATCATGAAGGTTAAAAGGAGCATAAAGAACCCCTATTCAAAAAGTTTATTTGGTCCCCCCAGCAGCATAATATATATAGGAGAAACATCCTTCCACTACAAGACCTGTAAACAAAAAACTAATTACATTTTCCCATAGAAAGAAGGCACTGCCAGCCAACCAGGTGGCCGCACATGTCCAGTACTTTCCCAGATAGCAGATGCAGACCCAGACTCCAAGAGATCTGGTTCTAATTCACATAAGTGCTGCTTCTTCCATAAATAGAAATGTTTGGGATGGCAAGTAAAAAAAATTTGCAAAGATAAGGAAGAAGCAAAGAAAATCTGGGAAGGAGAGTATTAATAATGCTAGACAATGAAATATCAGAAATAGTGCATAAGAACCATAAACAAGTCATCAGAGTATCCATCAGATTTTTAATCCCCCCCCCCTCCATTAACTATAATACAAATACTCTACTGTATGTACTGTACTATCATTTGTATTTTCTGGTATTTTCTGTTGAATGGTGTTTATCATTTAGGTAAGAAGAAGACAGAAGAATTAAACTAGATAATTTACACACAATATTTACAGCAACTTAACATATATGCTATGAAGTTCTCAATGAGAATGTTCATGAACAATAAAGTGTTAATGAGCATGCCTTTATAAAAAAAACTAGGCTAGGTTCGTGACCTTCAAGAATGTCTACGAATAAATAGCATAATTATTCTCTTCAACTTCCATACATATGAATTAAGAATGCTTAACAACTACAACTCTATCTTACCTGTCTGTCAAGAACCCACATATGAGACTCTTCGCTTCAGATGATATTTCAATATCCTCGGGAAATTTAAGAGAATTTTTATGGTCCATGATTTTTCCGTAAGTGCCAACTAGTGAGTCAGCATAGAATGGCGTATCCCCTACCAACATCTCATAGAGGAAGACACCCACAGACCACCAGTCACACTCGCGGCCATAGACCCCTTCACCACCCTGAGATTTTAGGACTTCGGGGGAGATATAGTCAGGCGTTCCCACTGCTGTATCTGCTCTTACTAGGCCATCCTAGAACAAAAAGTGGATTCTTATACTAACTTTCCAATTCTAAATGTTATCTTTCATGGTTAATTTCTGTACAAAAATGGATTTTGTCAGTTTTAACCCCCATGTGAATGTTTTATGATGAATTACATACAGTATGTAAACAAGTACAGTATTACAATTTGCCAGTCTGTATAAATCAAGGCAGGGGTCTTTCTCGCTGTGATCTGTATCTCATTTAAAACATCCTACGTATCAATCATGTCATAACACTGGGAAAAATCATTTTATCATTTACACAGATACAACAAAATACAAATACATTACAGTAGATGCAAATGTTGTCCGTCCTGGAAGCACACCAGTAAGGTGCTGAAGTGTTTAAATTCATACATTTATTCTATATGGAATTTATGCAATAATCTAGTGTGGCATGAGCAGAAAAACAAAAATGTATTTATTACAACATTAATAAGGTAGGCTCAAGATAAAATGTTGATGGTCTACTGCAGAACTTTAGTGCTGTAATATATTAAATTACAGTACAGTGTAAGGAAATTTCTACAAAGAATAAAAGTTAACTTTCTCACAAAAAAATATTAAATCTTGTGAACAATGACAATGACAGGCTTGAGTGACAAAAGGGAAAGGCAAAAACTTATAATTGTGCCATGGGCAAGGCAATAGGAACAAAGTCACGCTCATAAAAATTACCCACAGAGATTGGGAAATATTAAGGTACAAATGGTAACTCCTTTAATGTGACTCTGATCATGTTTTTAATTTCTATGTAGATGGATGAAACATTAGAAGAAAATAATTAGGAAAAATGCATAGCAAAGTATTTTTATCTTAAAAAAAAACACTGCTTCACACAAATGCCTCTCTGGAAGCATCTCCAGCTGCAATGAACCTCAAACTGCAAAAATAAATTGGGTCTGTTGCTCTCTAGTTTGCAAATCAAGGCATCACTATATAATTTTTATATATTGATTCAAGTGCCATTATGAATTTAAATGATCATGATTCAAGAAACATTGAGAATGTAAATACCTTATCCATCTTCATACAAGTACCAAAGTCAGCCAACTTTAGATGGCCACTGCTATCCAAGAGCATGTTATCAGGCTTCACATCTCTGGGAAAAAAATAAAAGTAAATTAAATCAAGAACTGAATGAGGTAATGTTCTGAAAATCTTGCTGCAAAGTCATTTACCACATTGAAAATATTGCTAAATTTGAACACACATATAGTGTTCAAAATTAGTGATGAAACAGGTTACGATGATAATGATAACCAACCTGTGAACAAAGCCCATGGAGTGGATAGCATCAAGCGCCAACACTACTTCAGCACAAAAGAATTTAGCCCATCTCTCTGGTACATCATAGTTGGACATGAGGTTCACCAAATCACCACCTATAAAGGACAATTACACACACTATGATAGTTTGGTAGTTAGGCTAACAATATGGCACTATCACTATGCCTAAGGAACGGCTGCTACCCGAAGCTGAAAATTCGCTCCCCAAAACTAACCAGGTGACAAGACAATAAAGTTATCTTTTGCTGTTTACATTTTATAGCATTTAGCTTAGTAGACATTCTTGGCTAACCAACTTCTAAAGACACCCTGGCTAGGCCCGCTTAAATAAATACTATACAGAGACTTTAATGCAACATACCATAAAAACTATACTGATAAAACACCTCTTACCCCTGGCTTAATTCAGATTCCATAATCAGATCACATTTCAGCAAAAGAATGAGTTTACTGATGCACAGCTCTAAATTTTCAAGTATCGTACTTTCCAGCATAAAAGACGCACCCTCACATAGGACGCACCTTTATTTTACAAGGATATTTTGTGGAAAAAACTACTTTAGTATGTTTCATCGTACATGTATTGAAAGATATTTTAAAGTGGATTTTGTACCCGAACTCTTACCTCCTCTAAGATAAGCTGTTCAGGTGTTCATATTTTGGGCAAGAGAATTGCTAAACAAGATGTGAAACCTGTATTTCTGGATGTGATGTTTTGTGTTGCTGCATCAGGCCACCAGGGCAGCACACCATCACAGTGCTCTGGTTTTGTTGTCATTTACTCATTTCAAATGCTGACAGGCAGATAAAAGTTTAACATTCCTTTCACATTTTTAGGAGCATTTTTCATTTAGACAATGAATAAATGTTTTAAAGGTAACACAGTCATTAAATAACGTGTGATATGTGTGGGTTATGTATGCTGGGTAAGGTGGTGAAATGATGTGAGCTTCCTTCATAACTGCAGACATATCATAAGCAAGTTTTCGTAAATTTGTGATAATGGACGGTAATAACTCGGCTTGTTTTCAATAGTTTATTATTAGCAACGATTTTTGTGCCTAGCGAACTTACCCAGTATGCTCATCCGGCTCCCTAGCCTATGGTGCTCGGTCTTCCATCCGTAATACGGCCGCATTAGATGCAGGGCAATTTTTTTGATACGTTTAAAAATAAAAAAATAAAAACGCGTCTTATACACCGGCAAATACGGTAAAATTAGCATGAGCCATGATGTCCCGCTCCTCCCAAAAAAATGCAGAGTCTGATCGCTTAATCATTTCAAATTTGCTTAATAATTTCATCGCATATACCTGTAAATAAAGAAGAAAATCAAATAATAATTCATCACAGTAAGTACAGTACAGTACAAGTAAAATCCAAAATAGAAAGCTTTTATGGCAAGAGCCTTTGGAACTTTTAAACATTTTAACTCACCTTTTTAGTAGATTTATGTCTAACAAGCTGAACTTCACCAAATGCCCCCCTGCCTATGACTTTAATATTTGTAAAATCGTCAGCTCTCATTCGCAATAGCTCCACATCCAGTATGGGCTCCCGATCTGCAGGAAAAAATGTATTATTGTAAATTACATAATTCATTAAGCACTTAAAAAATCAATGGTATATCTTGAAAAATAATACACTCTGCTGCATATCCATCTCACCCTCTCTCGCTCTTCCACCCCATAAGGTTATCAGAGGACAGCAGAATATAACAAATATTGTACATCTGTTGTCTGATGTATGTGTATATATTTACATGTACATGTATGTATGTGTACATGTATATATAACATTAATAATTGTGTAACTAGCATCTAAAAGATTGTTATTTGCTTAACTAAACAAACTAGAGGGTTCAGTTCCTGAACCGATTATGTGTCTGTAATCCTTTACACCACCGCCCATGGAATGGGTATATGGTGCATAAAAAGAAAGAAATTGAAATTGAATTGTTGTCTGACTTAATGCTAGAGCCAACAGGTGGTTTAATTCTTCCCAAATCTTTGAGACTAATTATTATTGTTGTCATGTAAAAAAAAAAATATCCATCAAAACAATTTTCAACACTGTATTATGAGTTTATGGTGATCATCCCTGCATCCAGGAGTAACATGAATTATCACCAGCATATAATGGCATAGAGATTACCTGCAGATATAATTGACCTGCTAGGTTTATGAATTCTTAAAAAGTCCTTGCCATTTATTACACAATCCTGTATTTCCAACTAAGAAACTTAAACCAAATATTCCTGTACTGTACCTGAAAAAAATATATTATTAAGAAATAACAAATATCTGGTCCCTGAGGTTGTTTGACTTGTAGTCTGCAGGGTCACATCGTTCTGACAACCAGATTGGTCAGGTAACTCGAGCAGAAAATGTTCAAGTTTCTTCTTAAAAGCTTCTACCTTTTCTCCAATAATATTTTGTATTTTTGGTTAATATATTCATAGGTACTGCATCTTCAGGAATGATTCTGGCATCACTGGGAACTGTCTCCTTTCTATTTATACAATGGATTTTAGGTAATTTTACCCTAATATTTGTGAATACTAGCATGAGCATGAGCAGTGACTTTATAGTAAGTACAGTTGTGAACTAAGAATTGTAATAAAAATCCCCTTAACATAATTACCGGTAGTTATATCACAATTAGTATTGAATTATATTACATGCAAGAAATAAAAAAATTAAGGTAAAGATTTGAAAGGTATGTTGGTAATGCTGTATGTAACTGGATAGTGAAAAATATGAACAAATAGAGCTCATAACAATACTAATTTAAGAATTTACTGACATAATACATAAAATAACTTATGATAAGTAGGAATATATATAGTACAATAACAGCATAAACACATACTAAATAACATACATCTATTAATGAAAGCCTCCACATTTTTGTTTCGTCTGATGGCTTGATGATCGCAGTCTGCGACCATCGCCTGTGCTGCATCCTGAGGACATAAAACATCATCAGTAATCAAGGCAATGGCCCACACACAACTCAACATAAATTTCATCTCTAGTACTGCAAAACATTAACATATTTCAGCTCAATATCCTGTGGGGAGTCCCGTCGGCTCTCTGAAGCTAGCTTACTGATTAAGTGCCATACTACTTGAGTGTCATCAATCGCGCAGTTCTTGTATGCCTACCGGGGACAAGCCAGAACTTGGGCCCCCTCGAGGAGGCGCAGGGAGCGATGGCACATGAATACTTTACATGTAAAGTCTATCATTTCTGCCATCACCAGGGAAAAACCCAGAAAGACAGGCATATCAAAACAAACTCATGCAGAGTTTAATACTAAACACAAACCACAATCAAAAGAACTCCAAAAAAACAAAACAACAAAAACGTCGTCCAACTAACTAAAGTACGGTAAATCTGATAAAACTGGTTCATTACATCAGTCATGTCCCTTCACTGATCAACCCTACTCTCAGTATCACTTGTACACATTTCTCTAAGTCAGTTACAGATCCCTGATTATACTGTACAGTACTTAAAAATAACAGTTTTAACCAAAAAATCACTGCCATTCCTCCTTCATTCACTTCATTGGGCAGAACTGTCTGCTATGCAGATGCAACAGATTGTCAACTATTCAAAGAAACTCAGTAAACTTAAGATCATCTTTCTTAAACTATGCCCAAGAAACAAACTGGTATGCCATGTGCTTAGTCCTCACCAATAAGGAGTCGACATTGATGATGCCTCTTGGGTTTCGTAATTGAGCTTCTAATTCACGGAGCCGCTGTAAACGCTCACTGTCCGTGATTGATTCCATCACTGTTGGAATAAACATAAATTAGATATCGCTCGACAATAAAAGCTACACTTATGACTAACAAAAATAACTCAGAAGCTTTAAACATTAATTAAGATCAGAAGCATGCAGTGAAGAATGTACAATATTTGTTAAGACAAAATAATACAGTATACATGAATTTTTTGCATGTTTTAATACCATTTACAATAACTTCCACATTACAAAAATGCTGCTTTAAAATGTACTTTTGCAAGATACAAACAAATGTCAGGTCTGAATAAGTGAGCAAGTTGCACTTCCACAGTATTATGGACAACAGGAAATAGAATACTACTGTACCTTGAATGGTCTCATGGTACATTTCCACAATATACTAGATAAAGGAAGTAGCATGCTTTAAGTTTTCCCAGTACACTTTCTCTATAGAAAATAAGATACTGTCCTTCTAATATGAAAACTAGTAACGAACTCAAGGGGTGGGCGAAAAAATATTCACAGTAAAGTAATCTGAATATTTATAAAATGAGAAAATACTGTATGATGATTTATAAAAATGTCTGCAATCATTTTTGTTGGTTTTATAGATAAAGCATAATTGTTCAAGAAAAGAAAATATAATTTAATGTGAAGGAATAATTTCAATACTGCATAGAGAAATAACTTCAATTGACTTAAAAAAAAAAAAAAAAAAGCGAAACAGGCTGCTGATCCCAATACCAAGTAAAAAGGCAGTCACAACTTCTCAAGATATGAACAGGGTGATGTAATAAGCATGGAGTGGAATGACTACATGGTGTTGTAGTAAGTACAAGGAAGGGGAGGAGGGGAGGTGGTATAATGTGTTAAGGGATTTTAAGATTTGCAACAAGTAAATTCTGGTGAAATGCCACATATAAGCTTAAACTCTTCACTGGAAATAGGTATGGTATATACATCACATTAATTAAGTATATGTGATGGGCCTATAATGTTGGGTATCTAATGCTTCTACTGTCACGAGTATATTCCGTCATTTAAGTCACGACACAGATTAATTAAGCAAATTAATCATTTACCAGGATCTTGGCAGCAATCATTTAGAAAGTAAGAGTGAGGTGGTAATGGGAAAGAGAATAGTCACCCCATGATCATAAGGTACCTAACACCCCACCACTGATGCTGTGCTATGCAAGTCACATAACCCCACACACATTAAATAATAAGACAAAAATGATCACACTTTCACTCCTTAAAGAACTCAAACTACAATACTGTACATTATATACCCTTACAGATAAACACTACAACACTTCAACATTCCTAGACAGCAGAACCCTTACCATTTTATAAGCATACAGTGCTCCTTATGAACTCCTATTCCCATATAGTCCAATACAGTATATACAAATAAACATATTTCCTTCTATTAAATTACTTCCAGCCAGCCTAGTCCCTTAGCACATCCCATGTGTTGTCTACATTCACTTCCAGCTCTTCTCTTACACTCACCACATTTAGTCACATTCTTCATGGTCTTCCTGTTCTCTTCCTATCCTCACATTCATTTAAACACACTCTTCACCAGTCTATTATCAACCATTCATTCAACATGCCCAAATCATCTCAGAATGCTCTCTGCAATCTTGCGGTTTATAGACTTTTACACTTAACACTTCTCCATGCCATATATTCCTTCATTAACTAAGTTAACACTATTAATGCCTCTCAGATTGTCCTTTTCTAATGCTTTAACTCCAGTTTTTTTCTTCATTTTCATACCTAATGATATTCTCGCAACAATTCATACAATTCATGCTATATTCCTATCATTTTTTCCCCTAACCTGGATTGCACTGCACCGGCCACTTTTCTTTTCTGACAGTACAGTACCTACTTTTAAAAGCATTAGTAATAAAATACTGTATAAAATGCCATTCATCCTAATCTTGTCCTTGTTAAGCTCCATTTAGTTTATGTAATGTAGTTTTGGTCACCATACAATATAATGCAGATAATTTTACTGTATGATGATGAAGGTCTCTAATTCCCATGAATTAGAGACCTTTCATATAGAGAAAGATTGCAAAAACTTTGTTTACATTCCCAAAGCAAAAGGCCTTGTATACATGACTGAAGTATACAAATAGATCAAAAGTATAACAAAACAAAAATATTAATAGGGTACTGCATACACTATATCAAGAAAAAATAGAAAACAAAACAATGAATACAAACTGGATAAGCTTATATTAATTAGGGAATATCATCATAGATTTATGGGATAAATTGCCAGGCAATATAATAGGCTGGATTGTTTCAAGCATAGGTTATATATGAGTGAGTGAGTCTGGGTATAAAGAGAAACTGCACGGCACAGACCAATAGCTTTTCTGAAGTTTCCTTTATTCTTATGTTTTCATGAATACACAAAATCATATATTAGCAATCACACACACATCCATGATATTTAAACTAATCTACCACATTAGTGCTCTCCAGACATTTCATGTCATAAACAGTACAGTCCAATAATGTCAAATAATTTAGTCATGGCCATTTGAAATTATAATTGATTAGGCTAAGCCTTTTTAAAGCTTGAATTTCAATTTGAACCAGATCATATTGTAATTAAAAATCTTTAGCCTTTACATGGGTCAAACATGTCTTTGGGTACCATTGGATAAATTCTTATACATGCCACTGGGCCGGTGTGCCAATAGGTTAGACTACTAGGCCAAGGATAATGTACAAGAATGAAAAATATATTTATCTTCCAAACATGATGATAATTTTGAAAACTTTGATTTATATATGCAGCTATTCATTAACCCTTGCACTGCTCACCTATTTTCGGCAAAAACGTCTTGGTGCAATTGACAAGGACATATTTTTGTTATTTTTACAAATGTTCAGGTAAATTTAATGTCAAAATGTTTCCAATGTCAACTATTTCCATTTCAAAACACAAATAGTAATGAAAACATTAAAAAACATTAAAATAGTGGTTAAAACATGAATAAGACTAATGACTATGAATAATTTGACAAATTCTGGGAATTAATTAGTAAGTGCAAGCTGGCAACTTGATGCAAAATATTTATTTTGACCAATTATGCACGTACAGCAATAATTTAGTAAAATTTATATTTTATTTTATGTAATTTATTCTAAAAAAAATACATATAGCTATACCAATGTAATACTATAATTAAAAAAAAATGCTGAACTGGTTTTTGCAGTTCAGTGCACAAGACAATAACACCTCTCTCACTGTTGCTAAACAAGCAAGCATTACGGAACACACCAAGATTACCGACACCAACCAACCCACTGCCAACGGTACTGTCAAATGCAGTAAACTACAGTACTTTTGTATTTAGTTTTGTGAACATTTTAGTATTTTACATCAATATTCGAGTCCAGGCCTTCTGCCGTTACCTTTATGCTTATGTTCTTATTGTTTTCTTAACTTTGAACTCAAACAGTAATTATTCTCTTACATGTGATTGCAGATATAAAAATGATGAATGCTGTCACCTTAACAAATTTATTCCTAGATCAGATAATAAAATACATTAGTGTAATGAGCTACTGAGCAGTTTCACTTAATTACACTAATACTGTACTGAAGTTTTTTCATTATCCCAAAATCTTGTACTTGGAATTGAAGACTATCAATATATCTGGACAAGCAAAATTTTTGGGAAATTCCTTTAATACTGAGGTTTTTTAGTCCAGATTTCACAAGGGTTCATAACTTTGTTGAGTTTTATATCTAGGCAGATGATAAATTGTATGAACCTGAATTGTAGGTGCATAATATAAAAGGAAGGAAAATATCATTCAACTGACTTGAAAATAATTACCTGAATGCCTACAAAAACTTGATAACTATAATGACCTCCTCACAACAAACTTGTGACATTTTGCTCACACAAATTACACTGTGCCACAGAACAACTGTCAAGAGTAAGAGATATTACTACTAAGCCACACTGGTGAGTAAATGAGTGTGTGAGAGTAGAGGTGTGTGTGTGTGGGCATCTGGACACCCACCTACTACCCATATCAAGGTACTCACCACCCAAACTCACTCACCCACCTCTTCTCTACCTCCCTCACAGCCCACAATACCTCCACACGACCACAGATGCAGCTTCCTCATCCCTCCTCAAGTGGTGTGATCCCTTCCAATCACCTCCTAAGATCAGCAACTTGAACACAATGATTAGTCATAAGATAGTTCAGCCTGGGCCCCCTCCCTGCCCTCTCACACCTGTCAAAACCCCTCAAACACCTATCAACAACTGCCCTTCGAGCTAAAACACCCGCAACACAACGCTTCACGCCCGTCCCGGAAAACCCTTCATTCAGGCCCGAGTGTCAGAGTTGTCCTGCTGGCTAAACGTGAAAATAAAACCCCAGCAAATGCAAGTGAGCGACAAAAGTTGAAAATGTTTGTGTTTGGGGCGAGTCCAGGCCTGGCGAGGCGGCCTCTCCTGCCTCCCACCTCCGCTGTTGACACTTACTTGCCACATCTCCTGTCACATCATATACACCTCGGGGTATGGACGTGGCTTATTATCAACAGCGAGGCTTTAGAGAGGTAAAAAATAGTATATAAGAAGCCATCCTTCGCCACAGTTGCACATAAATATGGCCGAATAACCAACTAAACCCACAATGCACCGCGCCGCCCCAGGCCCATCACCTGCCCGCTAACTTCAAAACTCCTCCTACAATGGTGCTTAATTATATGAGGACTTCTGTGAACTCTGGTCTACTCTAAATCTATATGTAGACAATTTATATATGTGTAGTGTGTGTGTGTGTGGTGTATTTTACTGTATGTATCAAGGGCAAGCTGTACGGTAGGTTATCCAACAGGTATCCTATGTATAGGATACCTTGATTTACCTGAATTTACCTGAGGGCCACTAATACTAGGGGCCTCGACAAGAGCAGGAAGCTGGCAGCTTGTCAAAGGTCTCCCTATTTGCCCTGATGATCTTTTCCAGATGTATTTTAAAACCCAACAGAGTTTTTGGCATATACGGCTTCGGCGGGTAGGCGGTTCCATGGGTTTATAACCAAATGGGTGAAAAAAGCATCTCTTGTTCTCAGTTCTACATTGTGGCTTGTTGAGCTTGAAACCGTTGCTCCTAATTTGTGTCACATCTGATCTTTTGAAGAAATTGTCCGGATTAACATCCTCCAAATTGTTCAGTATTTTTAAAAATTTCAATGAGATCCACCATCATGCCCAGTGGCTCTCAACTGTTTTTGATACAAGAGATGACTTAGCTCTGGAATGATTTTTGTTACCCAGTGTTATACCTTCTCCAGAGCAGCTATGTCTTTCTGAAGATGAGGTCTCCATGTCTGGATGCTATAATCCATGTGGCCCCGTGCACCAGACTTATACAATTGAATGACTACCTTCTTATCCTTATATATAGTTTAACAACCAGGTACCCATTTTACTGTTAGGTAAACAGAGGCTACAGTTACGGATTGACGCCCAGTCATTCCGGGAAGAATCCCGGCCGGGGATACGTATATCCTCCCCGGCCAGGATACGAACCCAGGACAAAACGCCCGCGAATTGCCAGGCGAGTGTCTTAACCACTATACCACGATGACTGATAAAGGTACAGATATTATTCCTAGGGTTTATTTATCTTTTATTTTTTTACTGCCGCACCCACTTGTTGTGAAACTTTCAGTGACTGACGGATTCTGACTCCAAGGTCTTTTCTTAATTAATCTTTTGTAAGGTAGTGCTGTTAATTTGGTAGCTGTGACGTAGATTGTTATCCCCACATGCAAGGTCTTGCATTTATCGACATTAAAAAGCATTTGCCAGTCTTCTGACCATTTGTGGAGTTCATGCAGATCTCTTTGTAAGGTCTCAATATCATTTTCATTTCCCACTTTACTATAAATCTTAATGTCATCTGCAAATTTGATGATGTGGTTTGTAACATTCTCATCTATGTCATTAATGTATATGACAAAAAGGGTTGGCCCCAAAATAGACCCCTGTGGCACCCCACTTACCACAGTTCTCCAGTCAGCTTCATTCCCATTTAGCACGATCTTTTGTTTTATTATTTTAACCATTGTTTTATCCATTCCAGCATTCTCCCATTTATTCCATGTGCCTGTAGTTTCCTAGCAATTCTTTCATGTGGTACCTTGTCAAAAGCTTCAGTAAAGTTCATGTAAACTACATCTGTCAGAAGTCCTTTGTCTGAATAGCCGGTTACTGTTTACAGAAATGTGAGCAGGTTTAATTCATGTTTGGTTTAAAAATCATGTTTGTAAGGCATGATCTATTTTTGTGTATTCCAGTTTATTGGTACAGATGCATGTGGGCCAATCACGAGAGATCTATATCACTTAGTGAACTATTAACATTTATGGCTTGCAAGTAGTAGAGAAAATATACTCTGGTAGTTTAATGTGCGTCCCATACTCAACCTATGGGCGATAATTTATTGTGCACCCTATACTCATCGTGTGAGCTGTAGTTTACTGTGTATCCGATATTCATCCTATGAGAGGTCATTTATTGTGAACTCTATACTCATCCTGTGAGCGGTAGTTTATTATGAGCCCCATACTCGTCTTGCGAGCAGGGACGCAAAAGAATTACAGAGGGCACACAAGGATTACAGAGGGCACACAAGGATTACAGAGAGCACACAAGGATTTCAGAGGGCACACAAGGATTACAGAGGGCACACAAGGATTACAGAGGGCACACAAGGATTACAGAGGGCACAAAAGGCCTTAACCAAACTGACTGATGAAGATTAAGCCACCCAAGAGGTGCACGGGCATGAATAGCCCGTAATTAACCAAACCTCAGTGGAGGCTGTTTTATATTAAACTTCTTCTGCACACCTTATATTAAAGGTCATCAATGGACATTACGGAGTATTGTAACATGGTTTGAGGCTACACAGCGTTTAATTTTAACTTATATTTTCCGTCATCTACTTGAAAGGAAATATATGAGATATGTTAAGAATTTCAGGTATTTTAATATTAGCAATAAAATGGTTAGTCAAGCACCGTTAGTCATGCTGACTATGTCATGCACCGTAAGTTAGATATACAGTATTTCTAAATGGCTAAATTTGTAGCGTAAGATGTATAGCAATATTGTGTTCTGTTTTACGTAATTTCTTGCAGCGTCTTTCTTTTTACCTTATCTATTTATTTTGTTTTCCTGCTTTCCTTCACCACTTGCCCCCTCACCTCACCTCCTGTACCTCACCTTCCCTCCCTCCTCACCTGTACCTCACCTTCCCTGCCCCCTCACCTGTACCTCACCTTCCCTGCCCCCTCACCTTCCCTGCCCCCTCACCTGTACCTCACCTTCCCTGCCCCCTCACCTGTACCTCACCTTCCCTCCCCCCTCACCTGTACCTCACCTTCCCTCCTGCCTTGTATGACTCCCTCTCCCACTGTTACTCAGTTACCACTATATACGGGTCCATGACCGACCGATACGCATATCACAGCCCCGCTCCTGTGCCGGGTAAGTCCACTACGGGCTCACCATAGCCCGTGCTACTTGGAACTTTGTTCAGAGTAGCTGAATCTTAAACAACAGACCGATACGTCAGTTACAGCCCCGCTCCTGTGCCAGGTAAGTCCACTACGGGCTCACCATAGCCCGTGCTACTTGCAACTTGTGTTTCCAGTAGCTGACTAAAACAACAACCGATACGTCATCACTTTCGATTCATTTCACAGGTGTGAGTTGGGTTGTTTGTCTTCCACATTGTTGTGACTCGTTATCTGCAGTTGCCTGGGTCTCCTGTCTTTGTCCATACACTTACTGCCATCCACATCCCTATATATTGACCAGACCACACACCAGAAGGTGAAGGGACGACGACGTTTCGGTCCGTCCTGGACCATTCTCAAGTCGATTGTGATCGACTTGAGAATGGTCCAGGACGGACCGAAACGTCGATGTCTTGTACACCTTCTAGTGTGTGGTCTGGTCAACATACTTTAGCCACGTTATTTTGACTCGTCGCCTTCATCCCTATATACTGTGAAGTACCATAGGTACTCGTAGTCAGGTGGTATTCCAGCTGAGAAAACTTCCCTCAGGCGAGGATTTTGTTATTTGTCCCACACGTGTTTTGTTTAAGTTAGTTAGTTAGTTTAGTTCATTTATCATGCACCCCATACCCATCTTGTGGGTGGTAGTGGAAAGGGTTACAGAGGCACATAATGGGCTCAGGGACTGAACCCCACAATTCATTTAACTAAACAAGTTACAATTAATAATTAACACAGTTCATTGTTATCATAGACAATGAATCGCCAGTTCCTGTTTGCATTTTTTTAAATATATATACAAGATCAGGAAGCTTTTACACATTCGCCTAAGTTGCCCCTTTACATCGCAAGGAATCAAATAGTATTAAATGCTCATACCCATGTGTACAATTTTAGTAATAGATAACTTACGTTATCTTCATAGTAAATTACAATATAATGATGCAATCTTAACACGTACGCTTATCTTATTGTTGCCATATCTGAACAGTCGACATCCTGGACACCTTCACTACCACCCTCCCTACCCCCGCCCAACATATACTTTGGCCGGGGTATATATATATATATATATATATATATATATATATATATATATATATATATATATATATATATATATATATATATATATATATATAGTGTTCAGTGAGGATCCACAATGTCTTCTCTGAGTACTCTTTATTTTCTTCTCCGAGGCTATGGGTCCCTACACTTGCACCAGAGGTGGTACCCCTCGTTATATATATATATATATATATATATATATATATATATATATATATATATATATATATATATATATATTGTTGCACTATACCACAAGTTTTAATATTTTAAATATAATTACTATTATAATGGAAAACGCAAATATTGACACCAGAATCCAGAACATGTCCTGGAAAATAGGGATGTATGGCAACCTCAGCTTATCTGATCTGTTAGGTACAAACCGATAAGTGACTCGCTGCTGCAAAGATTCGCTGAGTTGTCAAACTATTATTTGTGTAATTTTAAGAAGGCCTTATGACACCAAGAACTGCTACATCGTCTAAACAGCTTCGCGAATCATATATAAACGAATGTGTTGGAAGTGCGGCCGGTAAACAAAGTGAGTTTACCATGCAATTTTTGTATTCCGTAATAGTTTCTTTGCATTTAACGTAAACTGTAAATAAAATGGATGAATACAAATAACAACAGTGGTTATTAAATTTTCGGGGATGCATATTGCATTAATGACCAGATATAACAAATGTGACGACCAAATTGGAGTACAAATGTGTATATAACTGTACATACGATGCAAGTACATAGGCATATACATATGATACAAGCAGCATTATATACACGTACATATATGATGCAAGCATAAGTACACGCCTGTATACACAAGCATTAAATACATACAGACAAAC